CAGTAATGACTGGATAAACATCTGCAGTAATGACTGGATAAACATCTACAGTAATGATTGGATAAACATCTGCAGTAATGACTGGATAAACATCTGCAGTAATGACTGGTTAAACATCTGCAGCCCTTTCACTTCTGGACTCGCCCCTAATAACACGACGGCCTTACCTGATGGACATCAGTGAATACAGAAATGGATCAAACAGTCGATATTCACGGATGCTGTGCTGTAATTCCGTGTGTTAGTATGTGAGATCCTAAACACGAACTTCAAGCCACCTCCTGATGTAGCACTGATCTTTTCATAGTTACTAAAGTTCACGCTCGTAGTCCGTATTTTGGAATTCATTGTGGTCTAGATAAGGTCTTGCCTTCTTTTGGTTTGTTGAAATACATTTAGTAAATGTAAATGGACTGTACTTATACAGCACCTTTCTATCTTATCGAGACACAAAGTTATCTACAACAGTCAGTCTATGTCTCATTCATACAGCTCTATACTAGATCTGTACAAAGATAATTGAACAAATCTCTCTAAAGAGACTAATCAGAGCTTTATCACATTCAGACACTGATGGACACACATCAGAGGCAACGAGGGGTTCAATGTCTTTGCCCAGGGACACTTGGGCATGTGACTGCTGGTGGATTTGAACCCCCAACTCTTGCATTAGAGGACGACTGCTCTAACCACTCAGCCACAGCCGCCCAACAGTGAACAGTGTTCATATCTAACTGTTGCAGTTATTACAACACCACGCATCATGTTCTTATCACAACGGAAAATATGAAGAAAAAAAAAGTAAAAGCAGCACGGTGGTGCAGCTGGTAGAGCTGCTGCCTCTCAGCGAGCAGATCGTCCCAGTTCAAAGCCGGTCCAGGACCTTTCTGGGTGGAGTTTGCATGTTCTCTTTGTGCATGCATGGGTTTTCTCCGAGTACTCCGGTTTCCTGCCACAGACCAAGAACATGCATGTTAGGCTGATTGGTAACTCTGAATTGTCCCTAGGTGAGACAGAGAATGGTTGTTTGTCTCCATGTGTCCCTGTGATGGACTGGAGACCTGTCCAGGGTGTCCCCCGCCTCTCACACAGTGACTGCTGGACATGGGCACCAGTGACCCAAAAAGAAGTGGATAAAGATGATGGATGGATGGATGGATGGATGGATGGATGGATATCGAAGTTAATAATAAACAGGTTAAGGGACTAAACCAGAGATAACACTGACCAGAAATGTTCTATGACCTTTCATGTTGCCACATTTTATGGTGGTGCATTAATAACTGATAAAAGATCAATGAAACTGGGCGTTATGTAATTTACAAGGTTTGATCTCAACAGCTTCAACTCTTGTCGTGTCTCATCTTAAAATTCTCAGTCTGAAACTCTGGCATGAAAGATGAAGGGTGGTTATATATATATATATATATATATATATATATATATATTGATTGATTGATTGATTGATTGATTTTTATTGTCAATTCTGCATATGTACAGGACATACATAGAAATTGAAATTGCGTTACACTCCTACTCAATTTGCAGCAAACAACAACATTAGCAAAAATAAACTAACACAACTAGTTATATAAAAAAATATAAAAAAATATAAAAGTGAACAGCAGCAGGACCTCTGATGCAACGTGCTCAATAGTCACTAACAGGAGACAAAGGGACGCTGACTGAAGACAATAACATGATGAGAGGTAGATAATGGATGTGCAAGGCCAGAGTAAACAATAGTGCAATATAAAGTATAAACCTGAGAAACTTAGTAAAGTGAAGGTGTGCATACCGGTTCTATATAGTCACAGTTATGTACTGATGAGGTGATTAAGTGGAAATGACAATACCAGAATTACCAGAATAAAGAATAAACAGGACGAGTTGATCATAACAGTAGTGCAAAATATAATGCAATAAACAGTAGAGTGAGCTTGTAGGCTGTTAAAGTGACCGATTCATGAACTATTCATAAAACTAAATAAATGTCCCAGAGCAGTTTTGAAGGGGGGGGGGGGGGGG